GCCTGACAATTGGGGGCCGTAGGATTTCGCCTTGTTCGTCGAGATGAATTGTGTGGGTTGTCGTCGAGATAGATTCTGCATCGCTGTTGTACTTGATTCATGGTCAATGAATTGAACAAATTTGTATACATGTAATATGTACGTACAGTACATATATATTTGTATACCGGTACATGTGTATATCTGTATGTCAATGTGTATCCTAGGCTGGATGTCAACGTCCATCGACATTCAACTGCTGCTGTCTGTCAATACAGGCTTAATCATTGCATACTCGTGATCCAGGAATCTACACTGCATGGCTCATGTATAGTTTAATCTGGTCCTGTGCAGCGTCATAGGCTAGAACAGGGATTTTCATCTCGGAGAACTGCATTGCATGCTATCTACCCTATGCTACATCTATATACTAAGTAAAAGCAATGATCCGGAATCCCTGCATCCGGCAAGTGTCTAACCCCAGCGGATCTCTCTAGACATCTAAAACTCTAAATAGCCATGAATCATAAGCCCTCAAAAAGGGATTCAACGTATGGGCAAGCTGCCAGCTGGCTACCCATGGCGCGGTATAGTAGGACGGACGCTTCGGTGCATCACGCCGTGCTCTCCTCTAGATTTCTAGCTTCGTGAAGCTCTTTCTGCACCTTTCGTGCATACTTGACTCCAAATCCATGGCTATAAATCTCACGGACAGACTCGAGGGGCATGTTATGAACCTCTGCATAGCAGAAAATTGCAAAGATAAATCCAAGAAAACATATTCCAGCGTAGAAACCAAAGGCTCCACTAGGGGTCATTCCCTTCATCATCGAGAGGAAGGTTGACGATATAATGATGTTGCAGCCCCAGCAGGTTACACTGTTCATCATGGTCCCCAATGCACGAACTTCGAGAGGTAAGAATTCCGTCCCTACCCAAGAGATCGGGGCCACCCCTGCCGCGTAGAAGGCAATATACACGATGAGAGACACGAGAAGCAAGATATTAGGCCAGCCCATCTCGCGCGTCTCAACGGCCGTGAGGTCATGGTTCACTGGAATCCAGTGGAAGGCTACGGAGGCAACCACCAACGATAGGCACTACTCACGATTAGCATGATCTCTTTTTTTCAATGTAGAGGTTCTATTTCTGAAAAGATGCTTGCCATTCCAAGGATAGTGACCAGGAGCATACGTCGTCGGCCGAAGCGGTCAATGAAGATGAAGTTTGGGAATCCAAATATAAAGTTAGTGGTTCCAACCACGATTGACACGACCGTGGGCTTGTCAAACCCAACCATCGAAAAAAGCGTGGAGCTGTAGTACATAAGCGTATTGAAGCCTCCTAGCTGGGATACTGCCCGGCTATTAGCTGGTGACCTAAAGGATGAGAACCGTGGGTTCACCTACCTGCCATGACGGCGCAAGCAGTTATGAGAGCTCGCACATTCTGACCAACAGTAAAGAGCTGTCTCATCTGCCACACAAGGCTCTTATTAGAAATCGACGCGGTGGCTTCTTCAATTGAATGTCGGATCAGTCTCGCCTTCGCATCGATCTGTTGGTTAGTGGCTCGTGGGAATATCTTCGCAATCACATGCTTAGCCTCTTCCAGTCGACCATGTAGGACCAACTGACGAGGCGTCTCAGGGCAAAATGGCATCATCACAACAAGCAACAAAGCAGGTACTGCGCCGAGGCCCACCATGTATCTCCACCCGGAAGCCACATTCGTAAACGCGGCGCCGAGTGCGTATGAGACAAGCTGACCGAAAGTGACACATATATTGTCAAAGACTATGAGGCGGCCACGAAACCGTGCCGGGGCCATTTCTCCAATGTACAATGGGACAATCATCGCAGCCTCACCGACGCCGAAGCCCACAACGAGGCGGCCAACAGTCATCTGGGGAAGCGAGTATGCGGCTGCTTGAATTATGCTTCCTATGAAGAAGATGATACAGCCTACGTAAATGGCAAGTTTGCGGCCGTATTTGTCGGCTGTCATGCCCGCCGCTACTGAGCCTATCAGAGCGCCTCCGGAGGTGATCGATGTAACCAATTCTTGTTCACTGGAGCTGAGTGGCTTCCCCAGGTCCGACCCCAGATTGACGAGTACGGCAGATATGACCCCCGTGTCATAGCCTAGCGAGTCATTCAATTAGTGGAATTTCACATAAACAGGCTACATCACTAGACCACCAGTGATACTTACCGAATAGAAAGCCACCCATGGACACCGCACAGACAATCAGCCATACTGCCTTCCCGGGGTTCGTTTCCTCAATGGAGTCATCCAAACCTATTGAGGTCAGGTCCTCATCGTGGAAGATCTCCGCTTTATTATCGGAGATTTTCAATGAATCAGAATCCATTATCGATTGCATTACCGTGTCATAAGATCAATTGAGGCATGAAATATATCAAGACGAAGGATAACGTAACGTGAGAGGAAATTGAAAGCTAGGCAAAATGACACGGAATGAAGAATTGTGCATTCAACCCGCCTACTACTTACCAGTCCACCCACTAAGTACTGCAAACAACAACATTCATATAGTAGATATTTCCCCTCACGCCAATGCATTGAATTCACCCACCACGGGTATTGCCCCCAGATTCCGTCGCGTTCCATGGGGCGGAGAAATGCCGATGTGGGCTCCCCCAGACCCGAAGTTGCCCTCAGGGCCACTCCAGGCTCTGCAGCCCTTGATAGCGTTTATCCGGCCCATCATTTGTCCAGTGCCCTTAAGGTTATTGCGTCAAATGCCGTGCAGCATGGGATTCTACTTAGTGATACTGCCAAATCCAATGACGCGAACTGAATAGTAGCCGCCCCTTGACCCTTTTGGCGAGAGTCCACAGGAGGAATATGCGGAGTAGTAGTGACGTTCGGTTGAAGTCCAGATGGAGCCCCACGATTTCTTATACCCTATCGCGATTGGCACATGACTGGGAGGGTGGGAAAAAAAATATAAAAATAAAAAAGGGAAATATTTCCCGCACGTGCAACCCACCTTCAACTTGATCACGATGGGAAGTTTACCCCGGGTGTTGTACATCATTCCCATGGAAAGTAACATTTTACGATCGCCAGGAGCGCTTCACAGCTCCATTGTCTCTGGTTCCTTGGTTTCTGTTGGATATAAGTATCTGGCTTCGTGTATCACAATGGGTGGACAAGCAGAAAAACATTTTTCTCAACTTTTCTCTTCATTTCAATCGCAGATTGTCTACTTGTCTTGAGGGATAGACCATCAAGCACAATATGTGGTCCGCTCTATCTATCGCTCCGTATGCGCTTGCGCTGGGGCTCTTTTCCCTTCTGTATTTTGTTGTCTTTCCATGGGTAGAGTACATCCGGGACCCCAAGGGTATGTGTTTGACAAGACCTTTTCCCCTTACCAACTTGAGACATCCTGTTGACATCATTAGGACTTCGAAAATACCCCAACCTGAACCCCTTCTCTGGGATTTCTGCGGTACCTTTCATGATCTTAGCATCGAGAGGGTTCCGCTCGAAAGAGCTTCAGGAACTACACAGAACCAAGCCCGTCATTCGAACCGGACCCAATATGCTATCGTACGGTGATGTACGTGCCATCAAAGATATCTATGGACACAACACCAAGTGCATCAAGGATCCCTCCTATATTGTGACGGCTGGCACGCACTACCACCTTGCTGATGTGGTCGACAAGCCTGACCATGCCCGGAAGCGTAAGGTCCTCTCGTCCGCATATGCGCTCAAGAACTTGGAGACATGGGAGCACAAAGTCAGTGATAAGGTCGAGAAAGTTGTTGCACATTTCGACAAAGTATGTACGGCACCAGCCTCGGCTGTCGTGGCAGCGGGCAAAATGGCACCGGATCCGAAGGACCTTACAGTTGACTTCCGAGCTTGGACCAACTTCTTCACTCTTGATGCAATCGCTGATATTGGACTCTCGGAAAAGCTTGGCTTCCTGGACTCGGGAAGCGATGTTTGTATTGCTGAGAGAAAGGACGGCTCCACATATGAGGTCAACCTCCGTGAGGCCCTCTACCCCACTGCTCGCAAACAGTCGCTCATTCTGTGGAACTATGAATGGTATCCAGCCCTTAACAAGATGGTTAACGTGATACCATTCTTCAATCGGATGCAGAATTCGTCAGACAATTGGGAGAACATCGTGTGGCGCCGGTCAATGAACCGCCTGCGTCGGTATGAAGCAGGTGAAAAGCTCGAAGACTTCTTCCAGGCGATGATGGAAGACAAGAACGGCCGAGCCAACAACTTGGAATGGGGTGAGATCGTGGCTGAGATGAACATCATGATGAACGCCGGCAGTGTTACAACCGCCATCGCAATCGCGAACGTCATGTATCAGCTTCTTCGGAACCCACAGAGCTTGAAAAAGCTTCAAGACGAGATTGATGCCGTGCTGGACGCGGATGAGATCGTCGCCCCCTACGATAAAGTGAAGCACCTCCCGTATCTCCGCGCATGCTTGGATGAATCACTTCGTATCTTTCCACCAACCTCGCACGGGCTCCCTCGTGAAACTCCACCAGAGGGTATGGAAATCCTGGGTGAATGGGTTCCCGGCAACACGTCGGTTAGCATGTCCGCATATGTGGCACACCGCGATGAGAGCGTCTTTCCCAAGGCAGACCAATACATTCCTGAACGGTGGCTAGGGGAAGAAGGCAAGGCTCTTCAGCCATACTTGATCGCGTTCTCGGCAGGTGCGAGATCCTGCATTGGTCGGAACATCTCTTACTTGGAGCAGACTAAGATCTTGGCTACGCTGGTACATCGGTATGATTTTGCACTGCCGTATCCCGGATGGGAGCTGAAGCGGCTGGAGACCATGAATCTGATTTTGGGAGATATGCCGGTTAAGGTGTGGAGACGCAATTTGCAGGAGGCATGAACAAGCTAAAATATTCACGATTTTCCTTTTTTTGTTTTTTTATCCATTTGGACTTTCTTATCCTGGCATAGACTTTACAGCGTATAAATATATTATATCCTCTTGTTGCATTGATGGGCATGGGAACTAAATATAGCTTTCAATTATATATCCGTCACCTTGAGCAGGTGTGAAAAACTATTCGGCCTTAGCTACTAGCAAGTTTAAGGATGGACTTTCAATCTATGATTCGGACAAGTTTGGTTTATTGTTATATACCGTACAAGCTGTAAATGAATTCTCGGCTCTGGATGCAACGTATTCCCCGGGGGTATAACGAGCAAGATACTACTTGCTCCGTACCTTAAACTCTGCGCTGAAAGTTAGGTTTTCTGTAGGTTATTGATCACCATCTGTATATTTCCATGGCGGAATCCAAGATATCCACTCAATATCGGGACCCATGAAATTGTGATGTAAGTCGTTGCAGATGCTATAGAACAAGCAATGGGCTCGTCAATTGAGTCCAATCTATTCTACGACATGATTATCGACTACCCCGCGCGTTGGCCAGCGAATATCAGCTTGGTAATGATACACTGTCTTCCTTGTGGCCACTTTCTGCCCCGTGCGTTCTCGAGTGATTGATCCATATTTGATATAACCCTAAAGATAAACCCCTCTAGAAGAAGAAATATTCCCCGCGAGGGAATATTTCCCCGCGAGGGAATATTTCCCCGTTCTTTCTTTCCCCCCGCAAGTTGAGATCATTACTTGTATCTAAATTCGAATATTCCCCGTTTCTCCACGTCCCCCAATAGGATCCACACCAGCGGTTTCCCCAGATGTGAAACTCTGTTTAAACGTTGGACCGTGGGTGATCACCTGGCCCTAAGGTTTTGCTGGATCGAGAAATGTCGCCCGTCCGACCGGGTTTCCTCTGACTTTTGAGATGTGGAGTCTAAAAAAGACGATCAAAGACCGACATGTCTCGATTAGGGATTCTGCTTCCGAGTCTTGTCGCTTTTCCCTATTTCGGTAGTTTTTGTGACACTCTACTCCCAGTCTTTCTGTACCCCTTCTTAACAAATGTATATAAGACCCAGGCTTCCATCACTCACTTTTATTTTCCCTCCGGTTGACTCCCACGACTCTCAAAGCTACTGAGTTTCACATTCTTCCATCAATTGCACTACTACTGTCACACCATACAGACACACCATGACGCCCCCGTGGCCTCTGCCCCTCAACATCCCCCCGGAGGCTCTACAAGAGCTCTCCAAAACTCTCACTCCTAGTGGTATTGCCGACTACTCAGCCCTAACCATCTTCTCCGTGGCAGCCGCCACCTATCTCTCTCGAGGCTACCTCTGGGACCAGCCTGACCCATACCAACATCTCGTTTACGAACGACCACAGCTCAAGAATGGAGGCGCCGGCGGTTCCGCCACAAAAGAAACCCGAAACATCGCCAAGAAATTGGAAGAGTCGAACAAAGACATGGTCGTCTTCTGGGGCTCCCAATCCGGCACCGCCGAGGGTTTTGCTAACCGCCTGGCGAGAGAGATCTCGTTGCGATTCGGCCTGAGCGCCATGACGGCAGATCTGTCCGATTATGACCCCGAAACGATTGCTGAGGTTCCACAGTCAAAGCTGGTCGGGTTCCTCCTATCCACCTATGGCGAGGGAGATCCCAGTGACAACACGGCGGAGTTATGGGATTGGGTCAACAAGACCAAGGACCAGGGGCAACTGTTGTCGTCCGTAAGGTACTTTGCCTTCGGTCTGGGAAATCGGAACTATAAGTACTATAACCGCGTCGTTGATGTCGTGGTGGAGGCGCTTGATAAACTAGGCGCCAAAGCAGTGATGCCGGTCGGAAAGGCCGATGATGCCGAAGGTGCTACTCAGGAGGACTTCATGACCTGGAGGGAGAGCCTGTTTGCCGTACTGAAGGGCCTGGGCTTCCAGGAACATGAGGTTCAGTACATGCCCACCTTATCTGTACAAGAGGACGAATCATTGGAGCCAATTGACCTGCATAATGGAGAGCCAGACGGAGGCTCCCTCAAGGCTCAGTGCTCGCCCATCCGGCCCTTGGCCATCTCCGCTTCTCGGGAGCTGTTTAACTCCTCTAACCGACACTGCCTCCACATCGATCTGGATCTCACCAGCCAACCGGAGTTCACATACAAGACTGGTGATCATCTTGCCATCTGGCCCGGAAACCCTGACTCCGAGGTGGAGCGTCTCCTTCAAATCCTGGGGCTCTCATCACGTCGCGACGTGCCTATTAGCATCAAGTCGCTTGATTCCGCCACAAAAGTTAGGATTCCATCCCCAACCACCGTCGCAACTCTCTTCCGTTACTATCTCGAAGTCTGCGGCCCCGTGAATCGGGACAATGTTCTGGGGCTGGCACAGTTCGCCCCGACTCCGGACGCAAAAGCATATCTCCAGCAACTCGGTCAAGATAAGGCCAGCTATGCTGCATTTATCAACAAGAACCATGTTAACCTCGGCCGACTGTTGCAACAAGCCAGCACTGACACATGGAATATTCCCCTATCATACCTCGTTGAAACACTTCCTCTCATGCAACCACGATACTACTCTATCTCATCCAGCAGTGTAATCTCCCCGCGCAAGGCATCCATCACAGTTGTCGTCTCGACAACCCCCGTTCCCGAGAACGGAGACGAACTGATCCACGGCGTTACGTCCAACTACCTCCTCGCTGTCTCGGAGAACCTCCGCTCAGCTCCTCACCCAGAAGGACTCACATATCATCTCAACGGACCCAGTGATTCCCTACAAGGCGGAAAGGTGCTCTCGCACCTCCGTAAGAGTAAATTCAAGCTCCCCACTCTAGCCAAGTGCCCGCTTATCATGGTTGCGGCCGGCACAGGTCTGGCGCCGTTCCGGGCATTCATCGCCGAGCGTCGACAGCTCCAGCAGATCGGAAAGGAGGTCGGCGAAATGCTCCTTATCTTCGGTTGCCGGAGACCTGATGAGGACTTCATCTATCGGGATGAGCTGGAAGAGATGACGAGTGTGCTGGGGGAGAAGTTGCGCATCGTCACCGCGTACTCGCGCGAGGGCAAGAAGCAATACGTTCAGGATAAGATCTCAGAAGTTGGCGACGATGTTTACCGATTGATCGACGAGGGAGCCAACTTCTATATCTGTGGAAAGGCGGAGATGGCAAGGGAGGTCGAGAAGGCGGTTGCGGGGGTAATGAGCGTGAAGGGTCAGGATGAGGCGAATGAGTGGAGGACGAGAATGAAGAGAAGGAACAAGTGGCAGGAGGATGTATGGTAAATTCTTTTTTTCATTAATCGGGTTCTCTCATATATATGTATATACTCCCATAGACTTATCTACGACTTATTTGTTCTGCCATGACGCAATGCTATTATTTTTCACGTCTAAAACTCAGAGCCATTCCAACCCCCACTAAAACGCATACCAAACCCAAAACGAAGCGAAGCTAGCCCAAAACAGCAAAACATCAACACCGAACCATGGTATAGTCGACCTGGTCATTTTTGATCTTCCAACAAAACCACACTCTCAAACATCCAGAGAAAGAAAACCTCGTCCAAAACAAAAAAAGAAAAAAAAAGAAAAGAAAATAAAAACCAGGGAAAAAGTAAAAAGAAAGGAAAACAGAAAATGTCCAACACAAATCAACCCCTACCAAAGAAAACAGCACCCACCCCGCAAAACCACCTCTCCTTCGATCCCTGGAATAGCTGCGCCACGGGCCACCAACGGGCCGATTCCTCGACAGGAACCGCCTGGCGTCGAACAAGAGAAGAGAAATTGGCTCCACAGTTCAATTCCGTATCGGGTGACTGTACAGATTCCCTCGGGGCTGTTACATCCCTTCGCAAAGAAGAGAAAGGGGAGTGGGTATGGGCTCATACGAACCGGGGGGAGTTAAGGGATCTAGGACAGCGGGATATCCGGTCTATGATGCGCGTGGGAAAGCGGCCGAGGGATGTGTCTGACTCGGGAAAGGATAGGGAATCGTCCCAGAGGAAGTTGAAGGAAGTTTCGAAAGTTGCTAGTTTGGAGGTGAATGCGTCAATTAGTTCTTTGGATGAGTTGGTGTCGTCGCCGTCGCCATTATCGATCGAGATCAAGGATGTACCGAAAGTTTTTAAGGGTGTTACGGTTTATATTAACAGCACTTATCATCCAAGCGTCTCGGATCACTATTTGAAACGGCTCCTCACCATTCATGGTGCTGCAATTTCGCTGTCCCTTTCGAGAAAGGTCTCCCATGTTATTGTTGCGAGGCCTAATGCGGGGCCTGGGATGGGTGCTGGTGGGGGACTTGCGGCTTCAAAGTTACAGAAGGAGATCTTGCGGGGTGGGTGGAAGGGGATCAAGGTCGTTTTCGTTGAATGGTATTTTATCTTTCCGGTGTTGGGACGTGGGATGTTGTTGATGCTGACTATACTACTGTACATAGGGCCCTGGAGAGTATTGAGGCTGGGAAGCGGTTGTCTGAGGCTAGGTTTGCGATGGATATCATGCCAAAGGGGCAAAGGAGTGTTCTGTCTTTTACTGGCAACTGATATGGTTTATGGTGTTTCAAGGTCTATGTATTGTGATACCCTCATGAATGAAGTCGTTATGTTATATACATCGTTATCATTATCATACAAGCATGTCTACATAAAAGCGCCCTTTGGCCCACCCCTTGTCTCACCATCGCCCTAAGGCCGTCGCCATCCTCCTTGTTCCCAACCTCTGCTTGGACCCGACGACAGCGACCCTGCGCTTGCGTCAGACATGCGGCGGTAGCTAGGCAAACCAAGCTCGACCTGAGTGTAAGGCTCTAGAGGCGGTTCGTCTGGCAATGGCGGTAGTGGATTCCGTATAAGCCGAGACGGCCGCTGTGGGCTGGCCTCGACTGGGTGAAAGTGATGCTCCTGATATGACGGCGCTGCGGCAAACGTGTGCGCACCTGATGGCAATTCGTCCTCCGTACTGTCATTCGAATATGTACGATCCAGTTTCTCATCAATATCGTCCCTTGAGTCCCCTCGGACCAGCCCTAAACGTTCCTCCTCCGTGGGTTTACGCTCATGGCCTTTCCGTAACATGCTCCGAGGCGACTTAGGCATATCAGACTTGGGTCGGTGAAAAGCGTGGAATGAAAATTGGCGTTTAGAGCCATGTACTGGAGGTTCAGGGGGTTCATCTGCCCATGTTATAGATTGAGGTGTGTCACTTCTAGGTGGTCCGGGATAACTTGTGTTGACTTTTCTGCTATGGATCGACGACATAGGTGCTAGAGCCGCCGGTTGGCTGGGGTCATGGTCTCGAATTGGCTGCCATGAATGACTCGGTGACCGCATTCGAATTTCATCTAAGAAAGAATGGCCGCTTTGCTTGGTATTGGGGCGCTCTGATTCATCCGGAAACCGGGACATTCCCAATGGGGGGAGCGGCCTCTTGACTGACGGCGTGCGAGTTCCACTCCGGGTCATCGTTGGTCCTTCACCAAGGACAGTCTTGCGCCGGCGCAATCCATCCCACTCGATGATCTCATTCTCTGCAGGCGGGTGTAGCTTATCTTCTTGCCGTTCTCTTAAATAGCGTCGTGCCTCCTCCGCCTCCATTGTACGGCGGGGTGTCGATATCCTACGAATAATAGCGGCAGTGCCACGGATAGAATCGGCCTTGGGCTCTGTCTCTGGCTCTTCCTGTGTGGCCACCTCACGGATCTGGTCGAGGTCGCCTTTGAAGACAGCGGAGTCGGGGACGTCTTTGGCGGACTTGGAGAGCTGCAGTAGGACAACACCGGCGCAGATCTGCAAAAAGCCCAGGATGACTGTAGCGATCTGCATGCCGGTCCCTTTGAAGCCTTGGAAGAGAATTGCCGAAGTGATAATCGTGGCGCTGGTGAAAAAGACGTAATAGGTAGGAGTGACCAGGGCGGCATTGAAGATGTTCAACGCTTTCTGGACAGCGTTAGTAAATAGTCAAGAAAACAGAAGAAGCCAAGAGGAAAAGGGAAATTGGATGGGGACACACATTAAGATAAATGATTTCTGTCAATAAAGTCGCCACGACGAACACAAACAAGACGTAGAGAAACCAATGCTTGAACTGCGATTCCCCGTTGATCTGTGCCAAAATTGCCGCTCCCAGTCCCTGCGTAGCGACCACGCTTAATCCACCAATAGAACTGCAGATACTAATGTAGACGAACATGCTCTTCTTTCCGTATCGAGGCCCAGCCCACACAGCCGTGATGATGCTGCCCACGATGATAACGCCAGCGTACGACAAAAACCCGGGGGCAATAACATATTTCTGCATTTCCTGAATGTTGCTTACGGATGACTGCTCAGGCGCATTCATGGCAATGATAACAGAGCCGAGAATGCAGGTAAAACAGCCGACCTTACCGACGAAACTCAGCCGTTCCTTGAGGAAGATGGCAGATAGGATCGTCGTTACCACGACTGACAGCGCACCCAACGGAGTCACCAAAATCGCATCAACGAAGGCGTAAGCGACAAAGTTGCAAAGTTCCCCGATTATCATCAGCGTCATACCAGCCCACCAATAGAAGTTCTTCAGATATCCGTACCCCTCGCCGGCTTCCTCATTGTATTTGACGTTGGCCCTCAGTAGACCGGTTTTTTTGAGTACGAACGAAACGCCGATGAATAGGCCCGACGCGACCGCTAAAGAAATACCGATGGCTTTGTAGGAAGCCGGTCGACCGCTTCCTGAATCGGAGCGAGCCTCGAGAGTTGAGAAATCCATGTGTAACGGAAGCGCGCATGAACACTGCCAGCAGTGTGTCTATTATCTGCGTTGAGCGTGTATGTACACGATAATATATATAAATTTTCGATTAAAAATAGAACCAGCGCGAAACGAGCGCTACTCCATGAAAGCGACTCGTGGTGGCGGCGATAAGGGTTTCGATTGGGCGCTTCGAAGGTTAGATAGAGAGGGCAGGGATGGAATGCGTGGTTGATAGGTGCCGGGAATGTGTCAGAGTTTACTCCGTACTGCAAAGGACATGCATGAGGGAAAGGGGCAAAAGAACAAGAGAAAATTCCGGGAGCGAGAAGCAGAAAGATTAACCAGAGCCCAGGGGACAAATAAGAAAACCCCGTATGTAGGGAAGCAAGTAAGAAAGAGAGAGGCTGGGTGGTGGTGCGGGTGGGAGAGAAGCGTGACCCACTATCATTCAATATAACAAAATTAAGATGACGAATTTTTTAAATACATATATATATTGAGCTGGATAAATACAGAAAAACAGAAATTATTCTTCACTGCTACCTCTGGGGTTTTCAATTCTTACTATATTGAAGAACGAGTTAGAACGCGTCAGTCATGATTCATGACAAGAGAAATCCAACCAGAGTCTAGAACCTTCAGAGAACCACTGGCTAAAGATTAAATCTCCGGAACCAATCTGAGATTAACTTAAAAGGGTATAATAACAATGCTCATCATCATCACACTTGAACCACAATCACAATCATAAAGAAGTTCCTAAAAAAAAAAAAGATCATCAAGAAGAAAATGCAGCAAAAGAGAATTAATAAAACCATGAATCTCCCTGCATCCAGTGAAAACAATCCCACTCATTCATTATACATGACGCCCATCAAGAACATGCGGATATTCGTGACGTTCAAACTGAAACAAAGGAAACCGGGAAATCCCAGGGAAAATAAATAAATAAATAAAATGGACTGAAAAATAGGCTAGAAGAGAGACCTAGCGCACGTGATAACTTGGTTTTCGCTGCTTGTTGACCACAGGTGGAGGCTCATCCACTGGATAGGGCGGTCGAATCTTCCCATTTGATCCGTGCCCCAGAGGACCTGTCGTCGTTACTAATGGAGTGGGCATTGGAATGCCTCCCAACTCACTGGGGTACGGGATAGGAGTCTTTGGAGGTACTGGTGGCGGCATGCCATCATGCACATGATCGGTGCTTCGTCGCGGGGACCCGTGTTGTTGTGAGCTGGGTCGGCTGATGTCGCTCAGGTCACTGACTGAACCCCGAGCCGGTGTTGGCAAAACTGTATCCTGTGAGATAGGATGAACTGGGAGTACATCGTCGTTCACAGGGGGTGGGGGCGGCCCTGCTGGTGAGAGCAGGGTAAAATCGCCTGGCAGTTCAGCGGGCAATTCCACTGCATCTGGAATTGGAGGCGGCACCACAGATAGCCTTGGACTTTGGGTTATGGAACTGTCATCTGGGAAATTGGTCATATCATTTCCAGCAGCCGTATGCTGCGCCGCCCGACGGTGCATGCGCTCGATTCTAGCAAACTTAACACCGGCATCAAGAATTTGCTTCTTCACTTCAGGCCTGGTGAGGTAGCGACGAGTGTTGGTGCTGATGTCCGCCAATCGGTTCCATTCGTTCATACCAAACTCCCCCACACCCACTTCGACGTTCAAGCGGTAGTAGTTATCCTTAACTACGTTACGCTTGGCCAGATGCTCCCGGAGCATATCCTTATGGATATCTTCACAGCCCTCGATCTTAGCAATCAGCCGACGGCGCGCCTCTGCAAATGTACCCAGCGCATCGCCAAAGAAGTCCTCCCACCACTCATGCTGTCGATTGTTCGTACCAGGTGGACGTTTACCTGTACCAACGCTTATAAACACTCCAACTTCGCGACCGGGCCACTCGTTGACTGTCGCTTCATCCAGGACCTGCGGCGCAGGGTTATAGGTGCCAGCACCCTCGTCGATGAAGACATGTTGTCCAATCTGAATTGGTTTAAAAGCGAGCCCAGTGGCTGACGTTGCCCGGCCAGCTTGCCAGATTGTACAGTTAAACTCTGGAGGAGGTTCTTTCCGGGAGTCGTAAGAACGTAAGAGAACAGCGGATCCGTTGCGTGTAGTGCCCTTATACAATGCTGTGACCGCGCTATTGACATCGCATGTTAGCTCAAAGTCTATACAACAACAACCAAAAAATAAAGGAAAAAGAAATTAAAAAAAAAGGAAGGGGGGGAGGGGGGGGGGAGAAAGAGGGCTTACGTTTTCGTGCGGTACTCCCGATTGTCGTACAGCAGCGCATCTGGATTACCCCAGCGTAGACCATTGATGAACGTCGAATTCCGCTGACTGGGGTTTGAAGAATGCGAACCAGCGGTGCTGAAACTGGCACGGCTACCCGAACGCTGGGGGATCGAGTTGGGGCTGAATGGTGTGTTGGCAAAAGATGTGCGAGCGCCGGGCGACAAATCATTTCCCTCGGCCTCGAAAACGGTGTGTTCGCGTACACACTCGCGAATAGCGTCCTCCAATCTCGAGGCTTTAAATAAGGTTGACCGGAAAGGAATTCCAGCAAAAGTCTTGTCCGTTTCGAAAACCCTACGGGTCATGCGCACGTAGACTTCTTTGCAGGTTTCAAGATCGAGGCGTAGACGGCCCAGCATAAGAGCTATCAAGCCGCCGGTGCCGGTGCCGACAATGAGATCAAAGTGATCGCAGGGTTTGGGAATTTCATCGCGACGAGGGGCCTTGCCTTCGCACTCGACGTACACACGATACATAAGTTCCTGGAGGATGATGAGCATCGAGTAACCGCGGACGCCGCCACCATCTGGCCTGTTAGCCCGGAAACCTATATCCAAACCTCTTTGTAACCGGGAGCATACCTAACGATAAGATCCGCAAGGGAGGACCCTTGGTGGTATCTTTGCGACGAAGAATCGTCGTATCCATTGTGCCAATCTCTTGGTGGGCTGGAAACCCCGGTAGGAGCGGGAATATATGGGCGCCTGATCGGCTCGATGTGGGCGGCAGATGACGAATCCGTTTGACGGAAAGCACGAAGTCACCCAGGATGTATCTGCCGCGACAAATGACCAGAGGTATTTTTCAAGGAAAGGAGAAAAACTGGCTGTAAAGTGAAGTTGGAAGGGGGGTAATAGTATACTCGGTAGTGGGAGTGAAAGAAGACTGAAAAAAGATCTTTTCCACGAGTGTCTTACCGTGACTGCAGAACCAACGAACTAGTGACCAGTAAGATTAGGTTTGAACTGTTCTTGGGTACTAGTATTTTCCACTCTGCATTCCACCAAAGATCATTGCCGTTCAGTACTTTAGTCAGATTCAACAATGACAATTGGTGGGGGTGTCACGGGGATTGTGGCGGTGCTCAGCTGCGTCATTGGGGCTGTGTCCACATAAAGCTGTGATATGATATAATAGTATCTTGATGACCTCAAGAAATAAGGCATCCCGGCTTACACATCACCTAGTCAGCTCCATGTTCCATGTTCCAGAAAGACGCTAGAATGAAGTCAATCCATGTCATTATACTAGAGCAACTAGCTATCGACATGAAGACCAAGCTATCGGCATCAAGGCCCTAAAGTGGGTTGCATTCAAACCATGGGTCGCGAGTCCCATGCGATAAAAAAAGAACGATATACTTTCCCATCCGTCTTTCGTTAATCATAAAAGAACAAATGACAGGAAATTGTCCCAGTGGTCTATAGATTTGCCTTCCCAACAAGTACATCCCTCAATAACTTCAAACTTTCTTCAGCAAAGGTAACCATGTTCTTCTGCCGATCGTCACTGCCCGTCTCCACTTCTCGTGTGTACGTTCCATGTGCAGTTGATACTGCGACAGCTACGTAGCCTCTGCGAGTCATTAGCATGGCCTTAATGTTCTTCTGTTTCAAATCACAAATAGAATTCCTACGGAGTGCGATTCCTCGTCGTCCCACCGGTCGGCCCGGCTGTTCCACTCTCACTCACCGTATAGGTGGAACCGAGGGTGTGGCGAACGTGGTCGGCCATTTGGGCCACGATAGCGGGCGTTGGGCCATTGTAGTTTTCCAGATGAGCTGGAGTCCATCCGGCAAAGGCAATCCGAGATTCCAGGGTGTATACCTCAATCGTCATGTTAATCTTTATACTGCAACGTACTTATGGGCAAAATGGTGGGACTATTGGATAGACTAACAGTCAACCCACCCTTGTAGACAGCTGACGCCCCGGAAACAGAAAGCAGGCTTGCTGAAATGAGTCCGCCGGCGGCCTGGAAAGTTAGCAAGCCAGCAAGGGACTATGGGGCTAATATGACGACATACCGTCTCCGCAACGGATATCGTCTCCTGCTTCGCTTTGAGAAGTTCAAAAACCTCCCAGATAAGGGGCTGAAGATTCGATGGGGGGAATTCGCTCATTGTGATTGCACGATAATGAATAAAGGTGATGGTTGATGGTTGAAGGTGGAGGAGATTGATAATGCAATGCCAAAATGTCTTGGCGCCGTCACTGGGTCTGATTACTACTCATCATTCAATGCAACTATCGTAACGGAACACTAGTCGTACACAGTACAGTATATCGAATCTAACTGCTGGTAAGCGCTTAGATCTAGGTTCTATATATCGACCTTAGCCTCCACGAAACACTATATAGGGAATGACTACACGTAAATCACAATTTAATTCGTCAGACCAGGCCAATCTGAACATAATCAGTAAGCACATGTCGATGGAACCAGTTCACAAATAGAAGGTTATGCTCACCATATGTTGTCCGCTCCTCCACCCTTCTGGATACAGTCACCTCTTCTCCTACTCGGATAGAGGCATTCTCGCAGTTCCGGTCTAGGAACACATACCTTCCAAACACGGGCGAGAACCTCGCGCCCTTGTCTACCCTCCGATCTTTCATCAGCTTCTTGAGAATGTTGCCGCTGTCTCCTGCTCCCATTTTCCCGGTCATATAGTCAACATTGAGGCTCTGACATCGGATGCAATTCGCCGTCAATAGAAGTCGAATATTTTCTCCCACCATGAGCTCCGCCCAGAAATCCTCCTCGAAAGCTGTTCTAGCACCCGAAATGACAATGTTTGGCCGGGTTTTTCTCAGGTCCATCGCCATGTCGCCAGCTAAGCGGGCAGACACGTTGTCTACCGAGGTTTCTGATATCATAAGATATGGTGCCGTATCGGCAAAGGTAATTCTTTCTTCCTTCCTTTTACCGGTCCCAGCCCCGTATCTATTAGCACCAAGAGTCACGAGAACAGCAACGGTTGTAGTCACTAGGACAAGGAGGATGAACGAGCTAATTCCTTTCTGCCCAAGTGGCACACCAATGTTCAGAAGCAAGCTGAGAAGAGCTAAGACGGTCACTGACTGTTTAGAAACAAGTGGAGTCGTCTGTTCGCGATGTGCCTGACTTTTACCCGGTGGAAAGCTCCCTAAGACCCTCCTCCAATGTGGGCCCAGATATACAAGAACCACCTTGTATCCGAAACACTGGCTAAACCAGTCGTTATATTTGCTACCCATATGATAACCCCTTGTCGGACTTTGATGCATTGTAACTGTCAATTCTTCCAAACCCTGCACATCTGGTTCTAATGGTACCTCCAACGTTTTGATCTGAGAATTACCGTTGTCTTTCACGCCTGGTGGGCGATACGTCACAATGATCTTTCCATTGTTTTCACCCTCGGTTGGGAATACGATGTCTGTTAGAAACAAACTCATCTCGGGGAAATGCGGTATATGCATATTCTGGAGGGTTTCGACACCGTCATCGTCTTGGTTGACCTTGAGGAGCATGAAACGTCGGTCATACTCAAAGCCGGTGCTGGTGAGGACAGCCTCGGGAACGGCTACCTCACGAAGGGATTTGATGGGATATATGTACAGCTAAGGAGATGAGTATCATTGTATTGGATTGAGGGAGACGATTTTGGAGGACTCCTTACCTGGCTGATTTCCATGGCTTGAGTCTGTTTGCTTTGCCTGTAATGCCTGAGAAAACTGTAAAGTGTTGTTGGGCGAGGAGGAGAAATTGGGTTTTACCGGTAAACTTCGAGCTAGCGCTTGGGCTTAACAGGGATACTCACATCACTGCATTCTCTCCTACGTACATACCGACGGCCGGAAGTAACTTCACGTTATTAAATATTAACAGGGAGATAACGACTGCCAAGCCGGGACCCTTGCCCACGACAGGCTAATGTTTCCGCTGCATTCAATCTTACAGCATACCGCCATGGAGGTTTCAAGAGGCTTTGAATATATTTTGGTACATGGTACATACACACATCAAATAGCAAAAATGAAAACGTTAATGTTAATGCTCATATAACTCCCGTGATAATTGATTTAGACCCGATCAGTGCCTTATTTCATAGTTCTTCATAGTAAAACCAGTTACTCGTCCTTCCAAGGAAGGCTGAACGTTCCCACCCAGTCCTCAACTTCCTGCCGCAGGAGCACAATCTCTGAAATCTCCTCGCCCTCGCCAACATATTCCAGGAAGGCCTTGACAGTGTTGGGGTTCTTAACGCCCTTAGCCGCAGCGCTCTCCTTGGCAGCCTTGTCCAGCTTTTGGGTGATGATGACCGCGCGGTCAACAATATCGGCCACGCGACGGAAGTCCTCGGGCTGGAAGCCACGAGTAGTCATGGCAGGAGTACCCAAGCGGAGACCACCGGGCTTCAAGGCTGACCGATCTCCTGGAACGGTGTTCTTGTTGCTAGCAACGCCACAGAGTTCTAGAACACGTTCAACACGGGCTCCATCAACCCCACGGTTCTTCAGATCCACGAGGACCAGGTGGTTATCCGTTCCACCGGACACAATGTTGTATCCCAAACCCCCATTGCTGAGAGGGCTGCCAAGTCGATCGGCCAATGCCTGAGCATTAGCTAAAACGGTTTCCTGGTAGGTCTTGAACTCGGTTGACTGAGCCTGCTTCAGTGCAACTGCGAGAGCAGTAATGGTATGGTTGTGAGGGCCACCCTGGTGGCCCGGGAAGACGGAGGCATTGATAGGATTCTCTAAGTCATACATCTCCTGATTGCCCTTCTTGTCCGTCCGGCGGATACCCTTGCGGTAGAAGATCATGGCACCACGGGGCCCACGCAGGGACTTGTGAGTAGTCGTTGTTACCACATCGGAGTGACTGAAAGGCGAGGGAAGTACATCCGCAGCAACCAGTCCAGAGATGTGGGCCATGTCACTGAGAAGGTATGCACCAGCTGCGTCTGCGATCTGGCGCATCCGAGGGTAGTCGATCAATCGGCTATAAGCCGAAGTACCGGCAATAATGAGCTTGGGGCGATAGAGCATCGCCTGCTTCTCGAGGGCGTCGTAATCAATGAGACCAGTGGACTCATCAAGGCGGTAAGGAAGGGTCTCAAAGTATTTCGAGATGAAAGAGATCTTTTTAGTGGGAGTCTGATAACCATGTGACAAGTGACCACCATGAGGCAAGTCCAGGCCCATCAGGCGGTCATGCGTGTTGAGAAGGGCGGATATGGCATACAAGTTGGCGGGGGAGCCGGAAAGTGCTGTTCAACCATCAGCCACGATTCCAATATTTGAAGCTAACCGGGTAAGCTTACGTTGGACATTCACACCCCATTCTTCTGGATTGAGTCGAAAGGTCTCCAGCGCACGCTGTTGACATAACCTCTCCGACTCATCGATATGCTCATTTCCTCCGTAGTATCTAGCACCGGGATAACCCTCTGAGTACTTGTCTGGTAGCTGATTAGTGGGGAACAGCGCACATAGGTCGGAATGGTGGACTGACTTTGCATCACACTGCCGAGAGCATCAAGGACTGCTTGTGAAGTGAAGTTCTCTGAAGGGATCAGGTTGATGAAGTGCTTTTGGCGTTTTTTCTCCTGCAAATGCACATGAGTACTACTACTCACAACCGTGGGACAATTGTGCAATGGGGAAAATTAACCTTCTGGAGAATATTGTAGATTGTGGGGTCTTCCTCCTCGAGGTGTGCGGAGAGCAACTGCGGAGATGACGTTAGCATAAGACTTTGTCACATTTGCGCACGTTTGTTTGATCGTCTAGAAGCAATTGCAATTAAAGGACACATACATGTTGCTGTCCATCGCGACTGGAGGATGACACACTCCGGCTCTGAGAAAATGAGCTGGAGACGCACAAGGGAGCAGCCGGTCGGAGTTGAGTAGTGATGGCGATAGCTCTGGAAGAGCTTCCCGTGCGCGGGACCAATCGCAAAGCCTGGCGACCACAGCGGCTCAGCATTTTGAATCTCTTGTCGTACTTGCTTACAATAGACAAGACGAGTTTACAGTAGAACAAAAAGAGGGGAGAGAGGAAATAGATCGGAATTTAATGAGAAGTAATGGAGGAATAACCGCCGCATGCTGTCCTATCATCGGACAACTAACCGCGCGGTGATACCGTTGCCCGCGGAAAGCAGCACACTAGTCGATTTACGGATTAGCATCTCCGGCGGTCGGATATATACTTATTCCATTCCGCTCGCTTATTTTTTATGAACTCTCCGATCCCGACTTCCGCCTTTTCTTCTTTTTTCCTTTTTCTTTTTCACACAACTAAATCCAAGATGAAGAAAAGGTTTTAACTTGTCAGTTCTCGTGGAAAGGACGGCTCTGCTGGCTTTTCCCGGGCGATGCTGAAGTGTCCCGCCGTTCACCATCCATTTTGGGGCAATGAACGATCGGATTGGAGGTTGTGTTATACTGGATATGCCGACGAAGACGATATGATTGAGGGGAAATCATTATATAATATCTATCATATAATGACTATGAGATACAATTATCTTTATTGCCTTTCTTGCCTTATCTCATTATGAGAAGCCCGGTCTCGACTCGATCATCAGGGATGTCCAGGGCACCGATGTCTTTATTAGCGATGAACCTTTGTCCTTAGCAGTAGTCTAATGTCAATGTCAATCTGCCGATCTTGAGTTATTTACAGCTAGTAGTAGTCTCCCTGCCATCGTTGCTTAGAAGCCATCCAACAGTTCGAAAAGTCTTTTGGGATCTAGACTGGATGATCTTTACACATACTGGGGCTATTCGGAGAGCAACACCCTATCGGTCAGATCATGGGTGTATTTGTGCCTTGCAGGGCACCTTACGCTCTACACAAGTCATTGCGAATGAGTAGGATCCACAGATATTGACCAGAGACGTCAGTTAGTGAATTTGCCAGCTCATGACAGCCTGGATACGTGACGTTTGGATAGTGCTTTGTCGATGTACAAGTGCTTGATACCTGTGGTCTTGTGGTCCATTCACACTTCGAACCCTGACTGGATCCGAGCAACGCAAAAAATAGAACAGGAGGGTAATCTCAATAATTGCGTCGTCGAAAGGGTTGTAATTGGGTGCCGCTGAACGAATGATAGAGCATATCTTAAAGTTGGGCCCCAGGTGGTCACTGAACCAGGCAATGATCCTCAGGGCGGATAAGAAAACTCTGTTGGGTACGGGGGAACTGAGTTCTATGATTATGTTATGTATACGGAGTATTGTACGGAGTTTCTCCGTACAGTACAAACCTAGGTAGAGGAGGTGATCAGTCAGGAAGTCGAAGAGGGCGGGGCGGCGGTATGAAAGAACCCTTGCTGCGTTCAGCTCCTGATCGCCTTGACTCATCTCACAAAGCAATATGAGATACGGAGTAAAGGAACTTCGACTAAGGGTTGCTCTCAACCTCAAAATATACAGTAGCAAGCAAACAAACAAACAAACAAACAGGGCTAGTACGTTTGTACTCCGTATGTGTATGGATGTACAAACTAGCTGCCAGGAACACGCGGTGAAGAACGTGGAGTACAAAACCACTGCACATTAAAATTGGAAAGGAAAGGGGGTAGGTTAGATTTGGTTTGTTCCTGGTGCCTGGATGTGTGCATAATAGTGGATCTGAGTGGATATGGTGTGCGGGATCGATCATCCAATCTGGGACGTCTCTGTTGTAATTGCCACACACGGTTTGTGTACACGTTTGACACCATCGATGGTCGTTCGTCGACGACTAGTACACAAGTAGGACGTAATTAAACGTTAGTTGCTCTAGTCCCCTTTGTCTCGATTTATTATATTAATTAGTCTCTCTCGCTCCCTTCTTCCATTCTCCTATTCCTTCCTCTCCTTTCCCACCCACCCAAGTCAGTCAATCACTATCCATTTATTCCGGTCTCTACCGAGTACATTCTTTATTTCACGTCACTCTTTTACCTTCGGGGAGAAAGTCCAACAGCAACAACAAAAATAAATATCCAACCTCTAATTTCAATTAGCCATTCTTTGGACAGAAAAAGTAACAAATCAACAAAATGCGTTTCTCCGTCGCTGCTGTTTTCGCCGCTGTGGCCGCTGGTGTCGTCGCCGAGGAAGTGAGCACTGTTATTGTCACCGAAACCGCCACTTACTGCCCTAAGTCCACTGATGCTATCGGTGTTTCTCCCACCGAGTCTATCAGCATCCCTGCTGTATGTTCACAGATGTCCTTCAGTCTCACCATCGTGGAATAATACTGATCGGATAATAGGGCTACACCACCACTCGTCCTCTTATCACCTCCACCGTGACTGAGTGCAACAAGTGGTATGTTATATATCGGCGCCTTCCATCCCGTATAGATCATCAAGCTCACATAATTACAGCTCCAGCACCGCCCCCCCTGCTGGCACTCCCACTGGCGTCAACCCTGTTGGTAGCTCTACCCCCAGCTCTCCCGTTATTCCCGTCGTCCCCAGCGTTCCCAGCAGCTCCAAGGCTACTCCTAGCAGCAGCTCCTCCGTCATCAAGCGCCCCAGCAGCAGCAGCATCGTCATCTCCTCCACCCCTCTGGTCCACTCCACCCAGCCTGCTTCCACCAACGCCCCTCCTGCTCCTTCTGCTTCTGCTCCTTCTGCTTCCGGCCCCTCTGATGTCTCCCCCACTGGTTCTGCTACCACCCCCGCTGTCCCCCTCTTCACGAGCGGTGGCTCGCGCGCGGCTGTTGGCGCCGGTGCCGGGCTCGCGACCGTCTTCGGTCTCGCTGCTGTTCTGCTGTAAACTGATTTGAACTTCGACGGATGGAACGGATTGATTGCATTTTCTCTATTACCCCTTTGAGTCTTCATTCTCGGCGTCCGTCGTCATGATTGCGATTCATATGTTACTTGCATTCTCCGCAGGTGAGAACATATCGCATAGATGTACTTGACTATGATGACGGAGTTATTAAATTTCTTCTTGAACTCTTGTTGGAGCGTCTAGACCACTTTTCACTGGTGATACGACCGATACCATACATATTGTATTTTCTTTGATATCTCTTTACGGCTTTTTCTGTTAATATTGACCTTGATGGCTTTAGTGCCTACTGGAAGTTCGGATTTCCTGTGTATACCTTACAGACTTTATAATAGCCCATTACGGTTTATACAGATTTTGTGCGTTCCGAGAAAAGCTGTAGAGTAGCTTGTCCTTGGTTGCTTTTCCCACTGTATAGGTTGTGCCCGAGGCCTTGCAATCCATCTACAATTTGGCTCGGCTTTGTTGCTTCTCTTCAAAGTACTCTCGCACTTTGCCCCGCGCTATTTCTACTACATCAGCGTCCTCCACTGTCGGCGGTATGCTCACCGGGGCCCCATAATCCCCGCGCGCCCCGTGTTCGACCAGCTCACGCAATACTCGCCGCAACGTCTTGCCGCTGCGCGTCTTCGGGATTATCCCGCGTCCCTGTATCATGCCTCCGAGCGATGCGATTGCTCCGATCTGCTCACGGACTCGTTGATTGATCGCGTTGAACAGCTCCGGGGTAGGTATCGCCGGCAGGGCCGCAGATGCAGTCCGTGGCTGGATAAAGGCAAAAGGAAGGTGCCCTTTCAGTGTGTCCGGTATGCCAACAACGCTGGCCTCGCCGACCTCTGGATGTGACAGAATGGCTTGTTCAATTGCGCCTGTATCAAACCATGTGAGTTAATGAAAGATCATGATCAGTCTTAGGGATTTATACCTGTACTAAACCGATGCGCAGCTACATTTATGATATCGTCCGTTCGCGCCATGACATGAATGTACCCATCCTGGTCGATCATACCTGCATCCCCTGTGTCCACCCATCTACCCGAAAAGCGCTTGAGATATCCCTTGTAGAACCTCTCGTCATCATTAAACAATCGAGTGAAAGCCGTGGGAGCCAATGGCATATTTAGGACGATGTTGCCCATCGTCCCTCGGGGGACCTCTCGGCCTTCATCATCAACAATCCGAACGTCAAATCCCGGCATTGGAAATCCGGCCGATCCTGGTCGAATAGCCAGCGGCTCTACTTCTTTGTCATCATCTAACGTCACTCCCGCTGTGCTTCTTAGTGCCAGCCCGGAGATAGGAGAGCCGGATTCGGATGACCACCAATTATCTATGACCATGGCACCAGGGGCGGCATGGCGGGATAAAAGCTCCTGATACACCTGGACAATACTGGGCTCGCTCCTCTCGCCTGCGAGAAAAAGAGCCCTGAAATGCTTCAGGCCACCACGACGGGCCACCTCCTCGAAGAACTTATTGTGTGGATCATCCTTTCGGATGGCACGCATGGCTGTAGGTGCTGTGAACAGGACGTTGGCCCTGTGTTCCTCGATAACCCTCCAGAATGTTCCCGCATCTGGGGTTCCAACAGGCTTTCCTTCGAAGAGTACTGTGGTTGCGCCAACCAAAAGGGGCGCGTATAAGATGTAGGAGTGGCCGACTACCCACCCGATATCAGAAGCGCAGAACATCACATCACCTGGGCCCTGAATGCCAAATAGATACCTAATGGACAGGTGCAACCCGACTGCATGTCCGCCAGCTTCTCGGACAACTCCCTTTGGGAGCCCGGTGGTACCTGGGTATTTTTGTCAGTTATACCAAAGAAGCGTCATTTCCAAGACATAGGGTCGTACCGCTGGTGTATATTATATACAATCCATCCGTGCTAGCCACAGGTATCGGTCCGGCTTTGATGCCACGCATACGTGCGCTTTTGACCAACCGTTGCCAGTTGCGCTGTCCACCCAGCTTATCGGGTCGATTCCACCGCAGCTGATCTCTTTGCCAAACAATGACCTTTTCAGGCTTAAAGCTACTTGCCTTAATAGCCCCCTCGACCAATGGCCTATAGGCAACAGGGCCCTTAGACCCTTCTATACCACATGATGCTGTCATGATGACTCGTGGCCTGGCAGCTTCAATCCGCTGTGCGAGGGACTTGGCTGCAAACCCGCCAAACACGGCCGCATGGATTGCCCCCAGTCGAGCAATCGCCAATGCTGCAATGAGCGCGGCTGGAATCATGGGCACTGGAAATAGTCAACAATCTTTGTACCTCGAAGAGTCAAAAAGGACCAGGCCAAGAGCAAAAACAACAAAACAAGAAAAATTGAGGTGGCATACTATAAATAATGACTACATCACCCTTGCGCACTCCTTCTTCTCGTAATACACCCGCCAAGACCTCAACCTCCTCCAACAGCTGTCGGTAGGTATATTTCTCTTTCGTCCTCGTTACTGGGGAGTCCCAAATGATAGCAACATTGTCACCGTTACCATTCTCCACATGACGGTCGACACAGTTGTAGGTCGTAGAGATCTCCCCGTCGGGGAACCAGGACCAATGGTCGTGACTAGTACCGCTGGGAAGAGATTTGTAATGTCGGCTGATCACTTGCGATGGTTTCCGGTGCCAGTAGAGCTGCTCTGCATGGTGAGACCAGAAGCTCTCCGGGTCCCGAAGAGAAGAGCTGTGTACCAGCTGCTGTGGGTGACGTGACATAATAAATTGTGACCAAAGGAAGGAGGAACGTAGTCGACGTGGGGGGCGGTTTAAAGCGAGCAAGCAAAACAAGCTGAATGTGAAAGATAACTAACTACTAGTAGGAACCATAAAACCCGAACAGACGGCATTCAATAAAATTTGGAAAGTAACTGAGGCGTCTTCCTGCAGGTGGACGTCGCCGCGGTTAGTAGTAGTCGGTCACCATCGCATGCCGCGGCTAGCAGAGGAGTAGACATGCGGGGATGCTAGGGGTCTCATTCTTAAGCCTCGAATTGGAAGAAACGAAACAAGGTGTCCGTCCTGGCATCCGAAACCCTGCGAAAATTCGGAGACGTGGATCAGCGTCTCTCACGCCCAATCGGTTGGTTCGTCGATTTTTCGAACCTCCGGGCGTAGGGAAACGAACACGTTTCGGGATGAATGAAGCAACCTGAACCTGACACCTATGAATACATGTAATAACCAACTTTCGTAGAGTAGATTGTGTGGAGAGGAGAACCGAGGTAAGGTGGGCAGGTAATGAATGGAAAGCTTTCCCCGCACTTTCGAGCCCAGTTTAAATCAATCGATCGCCCGCATCGACCAGCCAGTAGGGAGTAGTTGAAATTACGTATATTTGTACTTGGATCTTTGTCCTCTCTCTGGAGTCAATAAGTCCGGTCATTGCAAGCACAGCGAGATATTCATCCCTGTTCATTTCATTCTCGTATTTTCCACTTTTTTTCTCCGTAGTAATTCATAGGCGAAAGCGATGTGATAAAAATAAATCGGACCTCTTTCTTTTTTTTTTCCCCTTCTAGTAGTACCTAGTAGTTACTCGCAAATGCATCAAAAATTGCAACTCAAAGCTCAACCGTAGGGTATCATATCGCAATGCCTGCTAAACTGTGGACTACCACCTTCTGACTTCCTTCAAAAACCACATATCCATCTCTCTTCTTTCTTTCAGGAAGCCGTCCACTCATCTCATAAACCAACCCCCTCTCCATTCTCTTACTCATATCGAGAACTCCCCTCCTCCAGCGTCACTGTTGTGTAACAAGGTGTCGTAAAGGCAGATAAGGATTCGGGAAGCGGGTAATAAGCCAGCGGGTTCGAAAATGAATATAAGCGTAAACAGAAAAAATAGACGTATTCTTGCAAGGCCCCGGCGGCTCCCGGCCTCTTCAGACACAAAACCTTCCATAGCCGAAACACCCTAAGATGGTCCAGAGATTGCCTCCCACATTGTAAACGTATATCATGCATCAAGCATATTCACCACCAACCATTGCATCTCAACAAGGTGAGTTATTAAGAAAAGTAGGGGAGGTAAAAAGGAAAAAAGAAAAAGAAAAAGAAAAAAGAAAAAAAGAAACGAAACAAAGGGGGCAGAAGGAGGAAAAAAGACAGAGTAACGCGCTGGGTGCAGAGCCATATGACCATGAAGACTCGCGGTCAATATAAATGAGGAGATTGTCATGAAGTAGGCTCGCATGGGCTCTCGTAGTTAAGGCCAAGGAAGAATAAGGAGTGGAACTGACATCCACGACTGATCACAAAAACGTGCACAAAGGGCCCTTTCATTCCTTTGGGCGGCTAGCCATGGCTAGGTTGTAACTCGACCAGCAAGACAGGCTTGATTCACAGAATAGTGCATTTTAGTGAGCCACGATGCCGCCCGCCGCGGTCAGTCCGGAAGGACTTCGGGTATTCTGGGCCAGCATCACGGTCGCGCATGGGACCCAGGCCAGTGGGTCGGCGATCCTGAGAGCGCCCTCCTTGTTGTTGTTGCCGTTGCTGCCTGAGCATCCGAACCACGTCGTAGAAAGCTTTTTCGACATTAATGCAATTTTTTGCAGACGCTTCAACAAACTCACACCCCAAGTCCTTGGCTAGGGCCTGGCCTTCCTGCGCGGACACTGCTCGCTCAACAGCCTTGTCGCTCTTGTTACCAACCAGCATCACGGGAACGGGAAGCGGAGGTCCGGAGGGATTGTTGATCGGGGAGGCGAGATAGCTGGCGCCGGTGGGAGAGCCGGAACTGGCTGATTCTTTGACCATTTTAATCTGGTTGTAGAACTTCTGTATTCTCGAAAAAGAGGCCCGTGAGGTAATACTGTAAACAAGCACAAACCCTTCACCATCACGGATCCACTGATCCCTGAGTGCTGTGTATTCTTCCTGGCCTGCGGTATCTAGCACTTCCAACATGCATGATTGCTGATCGATCACCACCTGCTTCCGATACGAGTCTTCGATCGTTGGATCGTACGTCTCGACGAAATGGTTTAGACATAACTATTGAACGAAATTGCGAGAGTCCAATTGTTTAGTCATTTGGATCACGACTCGGAGACGGAGAGGTGAAGGGCTAACCTGAATTGTGAGCGCCGTTTTTCCGACACCACCATCCCCCAGCACCACCAACTTGTAGAGTGTCATTTTCCCCGACATGGCGACTGATTAGAGCGGTAGGCGTCAAGAAAAAGAGAAGGAAAATTGGGTATCTGGCGTATAAACAAAACGGAATGGCGGGGTGGGCCAAAGAGTCGAAAAGGAGGAAGGTCGAAAAGGAAAAAGAAGAAAAGAGATCTATGGGATGCTCCAGATTGAGCACGGACACGGGAACGTAGGAATCCAAAGAACGGCTATTTTGGTAGTGCGCGATTAGCCACCGGAATTATCGTCGATACTTTAGACTGCCGTCTAAGCACATACCCACACCGAAAACCAAGGGTGCAATTAATTCCCCTGATTCAGACAATAAATAGCACACGTACCTTAGAAGACGTAGGGTCAAGAAGAGGACAATTTAGGTCAGTCGACTGGGTGTTTAAAAACAAAAGAAAAATTTTTTCTTTTTCTTTTTTTCTTTTCTTTCCTTTTCCTTTTCCTCTTAGTTTTCTTCTATGACCAAGCCTGTCATTTAAAAGAAGAGTTCAAGGGCCAAAAAGAGAAGAAAAAAAACTACCCCCCAATTAGGATTGGAGCAGGTCACAAATAAGCGGCCACCAGCTGCAGGACGATACGGGAGGTAGAACCGGAAGTAATCCGCTAAGTGAAGCTGTTCGTAACTCCGCGCAACGTGGAAATATATAAAATAAGAGGAGGAAAAAAAAAAAAAAGGTCCAAGATACAAAGCAAAGTAAGCCGAGTGGATGCTTGTCAGAGTTTCTTGTGACAAAAAACGCAGAGGTTTTGTTTTGCCTCAAACTGTTTCCGCCACGTGAGGGGGAAAGGGAGGGGAGGCGATGAAGAGCGATCGCCAGCAGTCGATGTATGAGTATGTAGGTGTATGTACGATAATATTGGGAGAAGCGTTTTATGTAACGAGCCTTTCTCTTATCTCGTTCGCAAACGAGGGGGAGGGGAGCAGGCGCCGGTTCCCAGGAGGTAAGAAAGGCTTGGCCAGCAAGTAACTGAATGGATGAGGGGGCGAAACCAAAAAATACCCACGGAACCTCACGGTGAAGTATCAGTATGAAGATCTGAAGGTGTATGAAGAGGGAGAAACTGGATAGGATAACAAATTTTTAACGTGAGAAAAAGGAAGGGGGGCAAGGTGTTCCTAGAGGATCAAAAATTGAAAAAAGGAAAAAAGAAAAAAAGGAAAAAAGAAAAGCGAAAAAAAGGCGAATAGAATAGAATCACAAAATAGATAATGAAATGAGGCGTTGGAGACAATGATCCCTGTCGGAGACCAAGAGCCGTCTCTTAGTTTTGGGTTAGCGTGTTTAGTTAGGAGGAGTTGGTGGGTATGCGGTATAGATGGCTTCGTCGTCTTCCGCTTCTTTCTTCTCTCTCTCTCTCTCTTTTATTCTGTTTTGTTTTATTTTTATTGATCTATTTATTCTTTTTTTTTTTTTATTTTTACGTTCTTGAAATAATTAACTGATTCTGTGCGCTAGTTAATTAATAACCCAAGTTGGGCGTTAATCATTTGTTCATTAGCTGAAAAGATTGGGTGGAGAAAGCTGACAGGAGGATAGTAAGAAAGGCTGGATGGGAATGGTAAGACCGACGAAGAGGGGAAGGAAAGTAGAAACCGGCAGAAGCAGCAGCAAGAGGCGGGCAAAGAGTTGTGTAAGAGAACCTAAGACCTAAAAGCATGAGAGAGTCACTTAGTGTCTGTCTGGGGCTTGAAGCTGGAACTGGAACTGCATTTGGTGGATTGGACATGCAGATGGACCCGCGCAGAGTGAGTGGGGATTCCTTCCGGGATGATGTATGGATGGGTAACCTTTTTTTTTCCCTTCTTCTCTCTCTCTCTCTCTTTTCTCTTCTAAAAGGCAACGTGCCTAGATTCTATCAAAATGCAAATTTTGTACATACATTGACAAAGCATAGAGTATCACTAAAGTCACATTGGAAATGATGCAATCTCCAATTTTTAACGTTTGATTGACTGTATCAAGCTTGTCCCAGGTACCCAACCCTAATCATTACATCGCTCAGGTACCATCTCTCTACCGATATTTCTCCATCATTTACAAACCCAATTCTGGTGAGATGTTCGCAGGAATAGGAGTGATAGGTGTACGTACGTAAGATCAATCCTTGTCCTTCATGACTTATGAATAGTACTATAGGTCTATAACAGCTCCCAAGACTTCTTCCCAATCATTCGGCACTACGTAAGGTATTCAGGTCGATCTAGTAGGCCTTAGGCCGTTTCTTCAACGCAGAATTCCTACCCCTAACACAGCTTTGGTCTCCTTGATCCGTCCCACAGTCAAGTCCAAAAAATCCATTCGGCTTGGTCGAAACTGTTTCGGGTAGACACGAGGTGGGCGTATGGTAATACTAAGTTCAGGGTGCACCCCACTACCACAAACAATTGGGATTGTACAGTCATGTTTCCCTGTATGCGTGATTGCGACAATAGGAGTTGATCCAACCCTCGGATATGGTCATGCCCAGGTCAGGTAGTGAGGCCGTTAAATCTGTCCTTTGTACGGAGTATTGTACCGGCAATCATATACGTATCCAGCGTAACGCATACCAAAAATCATGGTCAGAATCTAATCCGATCAGGAGACAGTTTTTCTCTTTTCCTTTTTAATTTAATGATTCCTCCCCCCCCAGGCGTGCTTATTTTTCTAGGCAGAGTGATAGAGAGGGGAGACGGTAGATTTCGCTGGTGCAGCAACCTTTGCAGGTCCACACGGGGAAGGAAGATAGAACATTCCGCGGCCCCTGGTGGTCAGGCTAAAACCAATCTTCCTAAGTCCCGGGAATCCCTAATACGTGGTTTGTCGTAAGTCTGGGACTTTAGTGCTGTATAAGTAATCCTTGGACTCTTAAAGCAGTCTTGTTATCTCTCATGGTGGTCCCAAAATATGAAAATGACCGCAGGACCTTGCGACAACGTTTGTATTGTTCACACTTGCATGTTAACACCTTTTCCCACCAGGTAGCCTTTTTTTCGATTTTTTTTTTTTTTATTCTTATTTCTATCCCCGTTCTCTCGTTCTTTTGCTTTTCGATTGCCATTTGCTGACATTGCCATCGGCATGTGAAATCAAAACAAAAAACCGCCCCATCTGGGCTTAGCGAGAAATTTGTTCGGAAAGTTCCATGATAATTACCTATAGTGGGGTCCATCTTACCCCTATTGTATCATTGGGATTTCTCCTAGGGAGTTAGCGGTGCTATATGCAGTATGTACTCCGTACCAATTGATTGGAATTCTCGAATGTTACACTGTAGTATTAAGCGAAATGACGACGACGAAATTTTCTTTTTCTTTTCTTTCTTTCTTTCTTTCTTTCTTTACCCCTCCCCCTAGATCCCTGCTACTGCACACCCTGCCGGAGAATCCGTCCGATAACCAATGCCGGGCCGGTCCATCGCTGGCCAAATAAGGTTCCACGAGACTAACAGGGATTAATCATCTCATCGCTTTAGTTACTGCAACTTTTTCGCCAGCCGGCAGACAGGTGTAGTTAGTCATCATATCATCATCGTTCCCCTAGGGAGGGGAACACTTAAGCCGTAGGCAGCATGAACGTAGAATTTAAGAACCTGTAGATCTTGTTGTCACGTTGTCTAATGTTTCTCTACAATGTCGGCGTAGTACCCAACTACCACCCCTTGCTTCTGTTCTTTATTTTGCATCACACCAACAATACTTTGTCGATGAACAGCCGGACTGGGAGCCCAGGTAAGGAAAACGGCGAGGGAAAGTTACAGAATGGGAAACCCTATTCTGTACTCCGTAGCTTGGTCGGGTTTCCTCTATGTTGCCTTTGGATTTTACTTTTATTTCTTTGATTTTATTTTTAAATTTTAAATTTTTTTTTTTTTTACGGTTGGCCATAGTGGAGCCAATAACGGGCCATATTCAGGCAGAGAGTTAGCTCTCCAACACAATGGTAGCTACACAAACAAGGCATAGACCTTCCTCCACAGCACTGCAACGATCATCGGGGTGGAAAGTATCTGACACTGACTATAAAATCTCAAGTCACTATTACATTTGATTCCCGTTAGACACTATCCACTAATTCTAGGTCACAGTTTCAGTGATCAGCGTAGCTGGAAATTAGTTTTCTTGCCGCGCCGACAGGATTCTGGGCTTGCTTTGTTTCCTAAGCCCTGCAAACTACATGGATGGATTTACGAAAGTCGATGCCAACAGCCCCTAAGGTGAGTGGCTGAGCGTCCACACGCGATGCCGATACAACTAGAAACATAAGATACGTGAGGAGGTATCTATTTTGTGCGCTTGTGCTTGTGCTATGCGACGTTGGTTGCCCGCCGGTTGGACTCGGGAAGCAAGTCAAGCCGCGACATTACTTTAATCAATGATATTTCCACTTTTGAAAGCCAAAGATAAAATTATCTATAAGGCGGTAGCTAGTAACTGGTCCGACGAAGGACAGAGCAGCTGGGACCCGCCTGGGGGTTCATGGAGACAAAAACCTCGGTAGAACTCCATATATTTGTTAGTTTAAAAGAGAAATGGGAAGGAGAGGCGAGACATGCGGACAAGCAGACTAAAGTGGTAAAGCCCGCGGGATTAAGGTATGTACCCAGGAAACTGGACAACAAGCTTGGTGAGAACTTGAGGATTTCCATTTGTACATCCTACCCATTTGTGGATAGCACGGAGCGGTCCTCGGAGTACCAGCAAGACTAACCAGATCTGGGCAATTCCGGTGCATTCCACAATACACCAGCTGGGCTTTTATTTTTATTTATTTATATATATATATATATATATATTATTTTTTACCTTAGTTACAATTATAACATACATAGTACATACGCTGGTATCCACAGTAATCTCCCGCCCCATTTTCCACGTGGGTAGCAAAGACTACAGTGGTCCGGAAACGTGCAAGTAGATATCTGTCTGAGCTACTCCGTACTAGCTCTCAATAGTCGTCTTATACTAATCAAACTGACTCGAAACGATATGTTGATTTGGTATGTGTAATGGCTTCTAGGCACTACTGGAATGCACACTAATGACCTAATACGTCTAGTTATACATACATATCGAAGCATATTTCGTAATTACTAGCTCCTTATATTAATACATCCGGTATACTGGAGCAACAATTATGCATTGTAATCTGTAGGGTGCTCTATAGTCAACATGATCCAAGAATGAAGACAAGATGCACCTTCCAGTCACCTTTGGTCAGGGGGCGTTCCGCTACGTTGGATAAACTGCTACCTAGTGCAAGATTTCCGAATCTCAGTGGAGCGTTTACTAACATAGTACTTCGGCGTGTGGCTGCAACGATTTGCACTACCAGAGAGTAGAAGGTATGCACGTGGAGTCAGGGACTTGAGATGTAGGTGGCTAGCCTAAAGTGCGTGACTGACAGCTGACCTTCCTTGCATAAAGACGAATGGACCGTTCTGGGTGGATACTAATAGTCTGTATGTATCTAGTCGTTTTGAAGCCTCTTACATTGAATAGGAGACAATTAGGAGTTGCGTTTCCCTAAATTTATCACGCAGCACTGCCTCCCTACTAGCTTTGAGTCACGATATATAACAGACGCCATTAATGGCGCCGAGCCTGTGCCATGTCAAGTTGCAACCTGGATCGTCGAGTCGAGACCCGGACAAGCTTCGTCGGATCCGATGTGCGTTGAAGGCCATACTGTATAGCTACTAAAGAATGCAGGTGCGTTTATTTTGGAGTATGTGACGTTTTTACCGCTAATCTGGGACTGGGGTACCTATGCCCTGTATGCGACAATAGTGAGTATCAATAAGTCATTGAATTTAATTGCTCGGGATTATTTTCCGCACTGACCACTAATAGATGGAATGATAGCAGTATGTATACCCAGCGTTATGGCTTGGGCTTAGACCCACGAGATCATCTTCTTGATGCCCAACATCCGAGACGTTGGGAGCAAAGTCACCCCGCCCTAGTTCTAACTCAGTATTATGCACGAACTACAACGTTGACCATCATTGTGAAGACTACCTAAGTCATGTCGTATTATTTACCATAGGTGGTCGCGGAAGTCTAATATGCGGCGGCCACATATATCCTAGTGGAGGATGGGCCATGTTTCGCATATCAGTCTGCCAATCCTCCCTACATAATCTCTAGAACTGTCGCATTATCAAGTCAAGTCTTGAAACGCCGCCTTGTGTTGGAATTGCACTACTGATCCTCCAGTGGCAAGATATCTGGTGATGGACCAACAGGGATAATCAACTGCGTGCTGCCCGTCCGTTTGCCAATTGCCTTCAGGTAGCCAAATTTGTACTGCAGACTAGAATTAGCGATTGGCCCAAGTCAGCTAAATCTCAAAAAACCCTACTTACAATGTCAAAATATGTCGTCTTTTTAAAGGCACCCCCCCTTGTCCGGTTGGACTCGTCGAAGTACAACCGACGATACCAATCATGGATTCGTGGATAATCATGCCGTATCATCTTGAGGTTACATCTAAAGATTAGATAGTACGCCACATCAAATCGGGCAATGGTTGTGTACAGGCGCATATCGGCCTCGGTTATGTTTTCGCCAAACAGGTATGGCTGGTGTCCTGGCTGTGCTAGGTGGTTTTCAATACGATCTAGCGCCTCGAACAACGGGTAGATATTCTCCTCGTAAGCTTCCTGTGTTGTTGCGAACCCCGTCTTGTATACTCCGTTGTTGATCTGATGGTACACCCATTCATTCATCTCATCAATATCTTTTCTCAAAGGCTGAGGGTAGAATCCTCCACCCGGCCTGTTGATTTCACGCAACTCATCTGGAAGTAGATGGTCAAATTCGGTATAGAACATACGAATAATCTCGCTGCTCTCGTTATTCACTATTGTACCTTGTTTCTTGTCCCATAGGACCGGGATGGTGTATCGCCCTTCGTACGTCGGATTTGCTTTGAAATATAGCTGTCTCAGCTGCGTGAATCCGTAGAGAGGATCCTTCTCTGCTGAACCCCACCGACCTGAGAAGAACCAACCATCGGGACCCAGCTCAGGATCCAAAACCACTAGCTGGATTATCTCCTCGAGGCCTTTGAGTGATCGAACGATGTTAGTCCGATGCGCCCATGGACAGCCGTACCCTAAGTATAAGACATAGCGGTCTTTTTCGGCAGGGAATTCAGCCGCAGAATCATTGGACACGAACGAGCGAAAGACCGAAGCTTTACGCCGGAAGTGTCCATCAGCGTCGGCGTGACGGTAGACTTTGTGTTCCTGAATGCCTTGCTTGGTACGGAGATGCCAGTGTCATGAGATGCCTTACATACCTGCTCTGTCATGACGCTCCCCTTTGTCGAAGTTATACTTCAGTGAACACGTAAAATGACAGCAAAGAGGCAGTTTAAATGTGTCGGCTTTTGGGCGAATCTGACCTCAATGATCTGAATTTGTAATCAGAGCTGACAAATTGAAGTGCTTATGTTGCAATCAATGGATTCACCCGCTGCGTCATCATGAGGGGTAAGCGATTGCATTTCATTAGTGACGTATAATGTAGGTTTAAAATTGACCATCAACTGAAAAGGACCAATTAGCTAGTAAAGTCATAGTGTTATTCCCTATCTTATCTCTAGTTGAATATGTATAGTACCGTGGCTTCATTGTGTCAAGGACCATACATTTGAGGTTCAGACAATCTCGTTCTGCTCTGTTCGTAAATGAATATAGGTCATCCGTTCATAACTTGATCGCCGCTTGAATGCCGAGTTGCCGTGCAACCTCGACGGAACCACCTGTGTTCAGCTCGATCCAAAGATCCACAAATCCGTCCTGCTTTGCCTGAGCTATATCCTCCGTCTCTTCTTTAGACCGTGCAACGTATATTGTCTTAAAACCTTGTGCTTTGGCGGCCTTCAGGTCTGAAAGATGGGCTGCCACCAGGGCGCAGTGACTGGGGTCCAAGTCGAAGCGGGCGGCTGCCCCACGATACACCTGAGGCGAGGGTTTGTACGCCCCGAAATTCTCTGCACTGGCTATATCCGTAAAAGGCAAGGAGCCATATCGCCGAAGGTCTTCTAGCAGAGAGACGTTGCCGTTCGACAGGGTGCACGTGCGGAACCTTCGGCTCAACAGTTCCAGGCCTCGCACGCTGTCAGGCCACGGAACAAGACGGTGCCAGCAGAGCGACAAATCCCATTTCTCGCTGTCTGTGAAGACATTCTCGATTTTCCGTTGCTGAAGTAGCTTAGATAGAGCAGTGTAATGGTGCTGATCGACCGAAACGAAGCCTTGGGAAGGGTCAAATGAGGCAGTAAACTGTCCATAGGACTGTCGCCAATCTTCTGCGATTGAGAGCCAATCTGTAAAAGTCATCTGTGAGACCCGTGCGCGTTCATCCGGAGGAATAGGCTTGCGGGGATCATGAAGGGCGCGCTCAGCAGCGTTTTGCAACTCTCTCGTGACGGACGGGCACCATTCAACAACGGTTCCGAATACGTCGAAGAACAGGACCTTGGGAAGTATATTGATTGGCATGCTGTGTGAGCTTCTACCTTTTACAGTATACATATAATTACCTAACTTTAGGGCAATGATGCCAAGGTGTTGAGGGAATGTAAAGTGTTTCACCAGCCTAGTATGAAATGCAAGGTAGTACTTAGTACATAGTACTATGTACATACATACTGTGTATGTATCATCAACAATAAGGAACGTCATGCGAGTTCAATGTTCAATGTTAATGTTCACGTCATTGTTCCTTCCAACTGACGTGTTGCTTAGTCAGGGGTTAGGGCCATGAGAACACCCATAACTTAGCTGCTAAATGGAGAGAAAGGCAATGATCCTATGATGAAATGCGACTCCGCCACAATTCTGTCCATCGCGAAGCGAAATAATTCACGAATTCGCATGTGATATGGTAATTCCGACGTGGACCATCTCATAGCCTGAAAGAGGAAAATAAAGGTTATATTGCTAACTCCAGAAACTACGGGCGATCAACAGATCCATCACATTATTATCACTTGTTCGCTGCTTCAGATTGATTATGTGACTAGTATGCGATGTCGGCAAATGGAGGGCAATGCATGTCTTTATCGTTAGCTGACGAGTGACGACGACGTAACTGGGTCCCATCCGCGTTGACAGCTGCAAGCTGGTTGATCCTCAACGGCGCAATCCTGGTCTCTTCGACTACGTACTAGTATTTTAGACTTGGATATGCATGAAGATATCTGTAATTCTTGTTCCACAAGGCGTCGGAAGAAGGTCTGGAGACTTCGGCAATGGGGATCTCCCACTTCAGGGCAAAAAAGAGGGGGGGAAAAAAAGTCTAATTTCAAAGGGGTGGTTTGCCGCTTCTTTCTTTCTCTTCGGGGTCTTCTTTATTTTCATTTTTCTTTTCTTTTATTTAGTCTCCCGCCTGTAACACCTGTACGTAGTTTGATATATCAGTTGAACAAAGGCGCCAGCAGCCTTGTCGAGTCTCGACCGTCAAGGGCTATAATAAATACATTAATATCAATATTAATATTAGTTTATTGTACAATGACCTGTCAACTTTTGCCCCTGAACTAAAGACAGAAGTATGTCTTGCCGTGTGGGTCGCTCGATGAATCCCAGTCGCGAATCAGGAAAAGTGTTATGGCTGTAGTCCAGTAGGCAAGACCTATTTTTTTTTTTCCCTCACGTTCCTTTTCGGTGTCGGGAGGAAGCACACGTTCCAATTTCCAGCTAGCTAGGTATCTGTACGAAAGTCGGGTAGGTAAAGTTCGAACGGTGGGAGAACTAACGGAGAAGGTACCCAATTGTGATGAATAGCTATCGATTATAGGTCCCTACCTAAGGGTTGGTTATCTCCTCAAATTAAACCATGCCAGTCCCGAGGCCAGTCACAAGCTGGTATCTCGCTTGTACTAGGTTATTGTTCGGAGATGGTCTTTACGGAGTATACCCTTGGGTAGCACCTCCCTTTCTTTTCCCCAGTAACAGTACATTGCAGTAGCCATTATATGTGTTTATATATTTTTCTCTCATATATCTGATCCCAAAGATTACGGAGTAGCAATAGAATGACCAGTGGCCAATCTTTCGCAGCAAGGGTCGCCAGCTCCGATCTAATTTCCGAAATGGGGAAACCACCCAGAAAAAGTCGGCGCCGAACACTGGAAGAAGTGGAGAGCTGAGCTCGTAGGACCCAAGGATCCTGTACGGGTGCTTCCTTTGTAAGTTTTGTGTCCACTGTCCTCAAAAGAGGTGGATAAAAACATCGGACGTGTTCCCGCATCCCGCATCCCATAAGTATGTATGTATGTATGTATGTACTACCTGATAAATATGTAAGTATTCCTGATGTAAAGGTGGCCTCGACAACCCAGTGATGTCTCAATAGCAAATTCTCTGATGATAGATGAAATGAGCCGAGCATCTCTAATCCTGACTATCTATTTACACGTTACAATATGTACTATATATCTGTCGAGGTCTCCGGTATTAATGGGATTGATATATGGTCAAAGCAAGGACCTACTCCGTGCCTCAGATCTAATTATAACAAATGCCCTACGTGACGTGACTGTTGGATTAGGAGAGGCTGAAACACGGACCACGGGCTCTTTGGGAAATTACAATTGACGATCGCTTGAGAGGCAACAGAGCTAACGGTTTGCCTTCCCCAGAGACATCGTATGATTCGATCGGAAGAGAAATAAGAACGGAGGAGGAAGAAAAAAAAAAAAAAAAAGAAAAGAAAAGAAAGAAAGAAAGAACCAAAAGAAAAGGCTAGTGTAGATAAGTAATTGGGGAAATTGGGTTGATGGAATTAGTAGTAAAATACATCCATAGGTTGTTACGAAGCAATTGTAACAATCAACGCTTGAGTATAAGTAATATCATGAAATCGAATAACATGACATTTGACCAAATTCACCAATAATATTTCTTGTTCAATTCAATTACTTTACCAGAAACCACAACGGAGAAGAACAAGAAACAAGAAAAAAAATTCATTATCATCCTCAAATTGTGGACCCCTTCAAACTAGTCCGGAAATCAAAAAGGTTGACATGAACCTCCCCTGAGAAGCAATCAACTTTCAATGGATCTCCTTTACCTAGTCCACTGAACTAGTCGAAGGACTAAGTAGTATGGACACGACTTTGCTTTTGCTCCGTACAATTAAATTAACACAATTGGACGATCACTGGACTAACCGCTCCTTCGTCCCCTTTCCACTGGCTGGAGTGTCTCCTTTTTCCTTTTTCGTTTTCTTTTTATTTTTTCTCCTACCACCAAAAGCTGGCCAGCCAAGCGGATGACTTCTACCCTGTTTCACTTTTTTCTGTCCTCCTTCTTTTCCTTTGGCCCAGTAGTAGGACAATTGGCCTGTCCAATCTTTGCTTGAATACGATGGTTTTCTTGCCGGTTACTGCAGGGATTACGAGTATCCATCAATCTTGCATCCACATCTGATCACGCGCGTTCTGATTCGTCTTCTTTCACTATCCCGCTTTTTATGCCCGGGAGTTTTATTTTTGTACTACTCCCGTACCTTCTACTATTAGTGTACTTGCCCTCACTGGCAGCTTAAGTGGAGACGTTCTTTTGATCCTCCTCACTAATCGGGAGCGTCGACTTAGTTCCCCATCCCCCCTAACGAACACCCCTGGAAGAGCTAACGCTTTAGCATCTTAGCCACGGCTTGTCCTCACGTCGTGCACATCCCGATGCTCGGACAAGTTCTTTGGTCGCAGCCCGCAAGGCTCAGTAGCTCTTGATCGGCCTTGATCTAACGGGTCTCCTCATACAATGTAGACCGTGTCCCCTTCCTCCTCAGATCTTTCTGTCTAGGGATCGATGAGACCTTGGTGGACGTCAGTCTTGATCGCTGACTCCGCCTATCTTTTTTGCTGTCTCTGAACGCGATCTACGATTCTTTCTCCTCTACCTCCCCGCGTCGGCGAGCCAATTCAATTCTCTTGTACCTCTTCCCCCTTTACTGGGTGGCTAAGGAAAGCTCGTGAAGCGCGTTAATTCAAGCTTTCGGGGTATTCCATTTGCCTTTGCCTTTCTTTCTTTTTGCCCTTTTCTTTTTGTCCCTTTTTTTCTTTCATTTATTTTTTATTTTTATTTTATTTTTTTGTTCTCCCTGATCCTAAGCGGAGTCTGAAAGCGTGTGCAAAGCCATCTCCGTGCTTGAGGGAGGGTAACGATTGGATCTAAGTGTAGGTGGGAAGTCTACTGCCTGTATGCCTTTCCTCCCAACCACGTTCATCTCGACTCATGTGTGCAAATAGCTGACGCAGCTCATTGCGGCGAACCAGAAATCCCGTGCTGAAGATCTCATCAGCAACTATAGCTGCTGGACAGCGTCTATATCGGCTGTCGTCTTGTTTCCTACCTACCTGCAGCGTCCGGAAAGTCAAATGGACCCCGCATAGCGCAGTGCTTCAATGGTATAAGGTGTGCGCGCCCGGTTGCTGTTGTAATTCAACAAGTCTCTCGAGTTCACGGTTGTCTTGAAGTCTTGATTGTCTATTATCAAGTGATGGCAACAGAGACTGTCTCCCAAGTTTCCCCTGCAGAGGTGTTTCCAACACCCTCTACTACGCCTCGGAGAGGTTCGTCTATGCATTCCCGGGGAGATTCCTCTCCTGGCCCATCATCGTCTCCACCATCCCCATCAAACCAGAGTTTCTTCCTCGATGGACGCCGTGACTTTCAAGATGTCACATACGAGGACACCTTATCGCCGCTAGATCCCAGGAGGTTTACCCCAACACTACATGCTTCACTTGTTTCGGAGATTTTGTCTTTACGGCGGGACGTGGAGAGTAAAACAAAAGCCATTGATGTCCTAGAGCGAACCCTGGATGAATCGCGCATAGAGGCTGAGGATCTCAGTGAGCGTTTATCACAGAGTACCAAGGAGACGCGGTCTCTCAAACATCAGTTACAGCTTGTGGAAGGGGGTACCTCCTCAGCTCTTACAGAGCTCGCAAGGGAGAGGGATGAGGCGCTAGAGAATATCTCAGATGTGCGAAAGAAACTGGACCAGGCACAAAAGAAAGCCCGCAGTCGGGAAGATGAGGTCGATAAGACATTGAAGCTTTGGGACCGCGATAAGGAACTCTGGGACGGTGAGCGTAGAAACCTGGAACGCAAGATCCATGTTGTTGAGGGTCGTCTCAAGGTGGTCTTGACCGAAGTGGCAGCGGTCCAAGCAGCTGGGAATTTTCATCAGATACAGAACCCCGATGGGGCTGGTTTGGCTAAAGACGAAGCTATGGGGAAGGATAGTGATACTGCGAGCGCCCACTCGAGCAGTCAAGGGAGACGACGGACCAGTGTCACAAGCGTCAGCACTGACGGGAGTGATCTCCATGATCTTAGGTATTCTGTGGCAAGTGTTGTCAATATACCAGGTGCGAAACACGACGGCATAAACCTTGCGCAAGAACTGGCATTCGACGAGGAAAACGAGTTTGAACTGCCCTACGATGATTTTACCCCTTATTCACCTGAGGCACTCCCGGAAGAACGCCCAACGTCAGTCCACTCACAATTGTCCCACACAATGGAAATGGGGGCAAAGGCAAGGAAGATCCTGGGTCTCTCTCTCAATAATGTAGAAAGCTGTGGAATCAAGTCGGAACCTAGTAGTCCCTGGAAACCACCTCCAACAGCAACAACGACAACGAGCTATTGCTATCAAGATGCTGGAATCCAATATTCCCCCCCTCCATCCCCGAAGTTGAAACTAGAGACTGGGACCGTGACCTGTGATAAGGATGCTGAAGGCCGCGACGCCTCTGTCTTGTACCGGACGAAAGACAGCAGCACGTGGATGGCCCCAATCATTATGGTATCGACATCTTCTCAAACTGTCGGTGATTTGCCCACTCTTCCTTGGACTCCTAAGCTTGGTGAATCATCACCGCCGTTGAAGACCCCTGATCAAGCTACCATGGTCTGTGCAGCCATCCAGACAGAACAACTCACTGCTCCTGAAACCCACGATAAGCGTGCCAATCTTCCCCAGGACCGTCCGAGTTCCTCAGATATCGAAGTCCCAATGATTGCAATTCATCCACCATGCTCTGAGCCTTCTTCGCCTCGAGGGAGCGTGGTTCTGCCACCACAAACGAAGAATGCTTCTTGCCAAACCGACTTGAAAACTATTGTCGATAGCCGAACGGTTGGCATACAGACAGAGGAAATCCGAATTGATCAGCGACCTGTCAAATTGCCTGCGAGTTTATTACCGTCTGCTATCCCAGATTTACCCCTTCGTACCAATCTCCAGGATCATCCGATCCAGCCGTATCACGCCCCTCCTCCAAGAACGAGGAAAGAGGAGATACCACCACCTCCTCCTATCCCAGCCAAGGCACCTGCACGAAGCAAACCTCACGAACACGTGCAAGCTTATCCCGGGAACAATGACAACGGTCCGTTATCTGATGAGTCAAAGACATATATAAGACGGCCCTTGAGATCCAGTAGTCTCTTTGCCGGTTTTGACCAACCAAGTGATGAGGAAGCGTCACCTAGGGTGAAAGATATTTTCACAGATGATGAGCTGCTAAACCGACCGTTCGCTTCATATACACTGAGAAGAGGCAAATTGGTTTCCACTCAGGGATGTCCTAGCTTAGATGAGACCACGGAAATCGATGAGCACATACTGGATGCAGAAACACATTTATATGATGCAACAGCCGATCTTGAGATGAAAAATCCAAGAAGAGCTTCTCGAATAAGTCCACGAACAGGAGCAGTGCCCTTGTGGACACGCCAACAGGATATACGCAGAGCGGCGATAATATCCAACGGGGCAGCTGCACACCAGAGAATACGGAGCCCCAGCGAGCCAAGTCTCGACGATAGTGCCAGTGGCGGTTCTAGTATAGCTCCCCCATTTCCCGTCCCTATTCGACTCAGTTCGCGGAAGCTCCCAGTTAAGGGCAACGATGGTCAGCAGAGTCCTACTCCTTCGAACCCCCGGAAATTTTCTGATCAAGGACGGCCGTCGATCACTCGGCAACCTACTTTGCGGCGAGTGCGGTCTGCTGCCGCAATGTCTCAAACAGAGCCTGACCGACCTGTAACCCGATCATCACCTACCATGTCAACATCTTCCTGCGCGGCGGATAGTCCTCAATATCCGTCTCTCCCATTCAACGATATCACTACTCCCCGGCGGATTAGGCGGGCAAGCCAAGGGCGATCCAATAATAGCAGCCACCCCACACGCGCGTTTTCCCACCAGCGGGATGATTCCACGGCAACATCAGTCCAGCCAACTAGTGTTGTTGATGCTATTGCTCAAACGATGGTGGGAGAATGGATGTTCAAGTACGTTCGGAGGAGGAGATCTTTCGGCGGAGTTAGTGAAGCCAAGGACAACTGGGAAGGCCGGAATGCCGAAGAGGTGTCAGCGAACATCGCCAACAGTGGATCAAGGCACAAACGATGGGTTTGGCTGGCTCCGTATGAACGAGCGGTTATGTGGAGTAGCAAGCAGCCAACAAGTGGACCAGCGTTACTTGGCAAGAGCGGCAGAAAACGTAGGGTACCCTTTCATGAGTTTATGCCGGATGCCGCTAACTAAGAGCAGTGACAATTCAATCTGTCCTTGACGTTAAAGACGACAACCCTTTACCTAAGGGATTCGACCTGCAAAATCAATTCAACCGATCCATCCTCATCCTTACCCCTGAACGAGCCCTCAAATTTACCGCTACCACCATCGAACGGCATTATGTTTGGCTAACTGCCCTGTCATTTTTGAGTCATTCTGCCATGGGCCTTCACGATCTCGCAGCTCTGCCGCCTATACCGCAGGAAGAATTTGCATCTTCCGCGCCTACTGCGACTTTGCGTCGCAATCCGATCCGGGATTCTATAAGAATCGCCAAAGGCCGGCCAAGGCCAAGGCCGAGAGGGAAACGAGCATTCAAACATCCTGAGCCGGTTCCAGAGCTCCCAGCAGAAATGGATATGGCAGATGCCGCTGACCCACCCACGATTCCCCGGTTCTCCAGCCATTCGCGCAAGCGCAGCAATACGACTCCGCGGATCCCCATGATCCGCAGCTTTTCCAATCAGGGTACCGTGCCATTAACGCATCCAACGCAAGGCGCGTTTGAAGCATATGCCCCACCCGCTACGAACAGTGGCCAGAGCATCATCAATGGCCGTACCTCCGAGGCCAGCGTGAGAACTGGTAATTATTTCGATGCCATTGGTACCGTCCGCATGGAGGCGTTCATTGACCAGACCGAATCTAACCAATACCATGCAACACATCCAAGCCATGCGCGGAAACCTTCGAGTCCCTGGAGCTCGGAAAGCCAGCAATTTTATGACCTTGATCACCCAAGGTATGACGATTGTGGATCTTTTCGCAGTGATGATCCCTTCGGAGGATTCTAACACATTGTAATCATAATGTTGTGGGCGTGGCATTATCCTCCAGGGAGATGCGTACCCCTGACGAATCGCCAGGTTCGAGAATCAGCAACTGTATATCCTGGTGTGGCATCTGCATAGGTGCCCCCTACCGTTCATATTCGCACATTGATACCACTTTGGCTACATCATATTGAAAGGGGCATTGTTTGGGAGCTAGGCGTTAGAATCATCTGAAAATCATTGATATTTATTCTAGGATAATCAACACTCCGCGAATGCGTACATGACAAGGTAGTATTGTGCAACGTAGTGCTTGCAGCATAATCACGCCGGAATAGATGACCGGACCATGCAGAAAAAAGTTAAGAGAAAAACATACTTCCCCTTCTATAAAACAACACATTCAAACATTCTCGATCACAGCTTTGCAGCCTCTTTCACTTCCCCAATCTTCAGCTTTGGCGTATACTTCTTCAACACACCCTCATTGTGATACTGTCCACAGTTAGCATCAATGAAGGTTTATAGACTGGACGGGAGTTGAAGAAAAAGAAATACGGGAAAGGGGGAAGAGAGAGAGAGAGAGAGAGAGAGATTCATCAAATATACGGCGACATAGTAGTGCGTCGGAATCCCCCCC